CCATTCCTCAGGTGTGTTTTTTGAAACTGAGGCGATTTTCTGGTGATCTTTGGGCTTCCCCAAGGGCAGGTAAGGGTGTCTGGGAGGCAGATCTTCCTCAGAGCTGCTCCAATCCTCAGCACTATTGTATTTTTCAACATAACTATTTAATTCCGGGGACACTTCATTTTCAATCTCCCCCAAAGCCTGGGAAGCACATCTGGGGGCCAGTTGCTCATGAGAACTGCTCAATTTCCCAACCAAATTTTTTGATTCTGCGAAGACTTCTTGGTCATCTTTGGGCTTTCCCAAGGACTTGAAAGAGTATGTGGGAGCCAGCTGTTGTTCTGAACCACTGCCCTCCCCCGAAGCACTGTCTGAGAAGACTTCTTCAGCTTCGGGCTTCCCCAAGGAGAGGGAAAGGCATCTGGGAGGAAGCCTCTCTGCAGAAATGCCTCCCTCTGCCAAAGCACTTGCCATACCCGAAATGCTTGCTGTAAAGGCCTGGAGGACATTTTCAGGAGGGCTTTCTTTGCAGATAGTTGAGATATCTTGAGCTGAATCCATTTTAAATTGGACACTTTGCGAATCAAAGTAGGAAGCATCTTCTTCTTCTGACTGGGTATGAGAAGGATCCATGAACACCTGAGCCTCCACTACCACTGAGGAGAACATGACATCTTGTTGGGTTGTAGAAGGGCTTTCCACCACTGGTAAGAGAGAAGCTTTGGCTTCTGTCTTCTTGGCTCCAGAAGCCCCATCTCCATAATATGGTGATAGACCACTAACTATGGCCTCTTTCTTGTCTTCAGGTATGGGATGTGAAGCTGATGCTTTACTGGCTTCAAAATCTAAATCAGCCTTTCTCCCTCCCATGTCATTTTTATCTGAAAGCAATTCCTGAGGAGTAGCGGTTTCTGCTTGTGTAGCTCTGGGCTGCTCCATGACTTGCTTCTCCAAGGACAGGTGCCAGAAAGGGCTACCGTGGTCAGTCCAATTAGCAGGTGGGGACCCAGCTCTATTGCCTAGGCCAAGCTCGCAACTGGATCGTTTAGAGCGTCTTCCTCTGGATACACACTCACTCTTTCTTGAAGCACTTGATCCTTTTTTTCCACATTGTCTTCCATATGCTGCTGACCATGAGTAGCCGTGACTCTCAGCAGCATCTGTGTTTACAGCCTGATCTGTTGTCTTATGAGCAATCTCAGTTTTGTTGCTCTGTTCCTGACTTGAGGGACCTGCACCAAATAGAAATAAGGGAAGAAAAAAATATGTGTGCTTTTGATTTCCTAAAATAAGAACAGTCTGCCTTGACCCAATGGGTACCTACTGGCTATTGAATTCCCTTGTATGAAGAAGTAGCTATTCAGAAGATAGAGAGTAGCTTGGTCACTTTTAGCCTTCTGCAGTTGAAAATTTTAAAATCAAAGTGAAATCCCAGTTTTACAAACTGATGCCAATGTTGGCTCATCACCATTATACTAAGAGCCTGGTCCACCATTAGGGGTAAGACACAGCAAAAGGCAATTTTTGCACTTGTAGCAATGATTACCTTTTAGGAGACTGGGAAAGGGCAAAGGGAAGTTTTACTTTCTAACTAGTATTTGTATTTTCTACTTAATTCTACTTAATTTTCATATCATGTGCAGGTAATGTTTTATTTAGAAAGGTGTCAACAGGGGTTATATGGGAGGTAGGGTTATGCCCCCGTTTTTTCGGCTTTCTATTTTCTTGTCTTAAAATAATCTGTTGTAATATACATGCAAAGCAATTCTTGGAAAGCCTTAACAATTGCATTGATCCATAGGCTTCAGGTCAAGCACAAGGTAACAATTATACAGATTGCTCCTCTCCTCCCTATAATTTTACTAAGGAACTCAGCTTGATCCCCGGGTAGGAGGGCCCTTGCTGCCTTCCCACCCCATCATCCACTGCATCCCTAGCTCTACCTAGTGGTTTCATATCCAGCATACAGCACTGAGCATAGCTACCTGCATGCCAAACCACTCCCACTGTATGGAAATCCAATCAGTATGTGCCCCCAAGGACACAGAATCAGTGCTATCCTCTGGGCGTAAAAGAGACAACTATGAAAAATAAATATGAATAAAGATGGAAAGAAAGTAAAGGGATTACTCTTTTCTTTTTTCTTCCTTCTTTTTTTTTGCAGATCTATTTTGTACTTTTGTTAGTTTTCATGGGAAAATGTGTTTAGAGATATCCTGTCTTTCAACCCAGGTGTGAAATCCTTTGTGGCAAAAATATGAAAAAACTGTTTGACTTAATTTGTGGAACTGAAATTTTGTTTTATCAAGTATTGCTTGAAAGTATGTTGCTAGCAGCTGAAGCCAACATCCACATACACACACACACACACACACACAGATTGTTACTCCAGTAGTATTTGTTGTTTGGGGATTTGATGGGTGTTGGCTGCCAAGGACATCTGTCTGCAGCTGCCCCAGCCCTCTTTGCCCATGGATATGGGAACTGGTCTCACTGTTACTGCAAGATCTTTTCTCTACCCCGGAAGAGAAACGCAAATTTAAAAAAGTAGTTTTTGGCCAATTCTGTTATTATGGTCTGGTTCTGTTGCTGAGGAGAATGCTGAAGGGGAAATCATTGGCTGCCCTCAGATATCTGGGCTCACTGAGGAACTCAGCATGTATTAATACATTAGACTTAGAGAGGATTAAAGAAACTTATAAACAAACACAGAACACTTCTTGTTGGAAATTCATTTAGATAAAATAGGGATCCAGGTATGACCCTTTACCTAAATTCCACACAAGTGGCAATTGTATTAGGCCGTTTAGGTGGAAAAACCTGGACCATATTAGTATGCGCCTTAAATTGAAAGCTCTCTGAGGATCAAGGGTAGCAGGCCTGGGTAATTCTCATTATATAGCTCCTGTCACATAGCACTATGCATTTAAGCTTACAGTACATGTTTATGGATGAGGGGGAAGATGTGCCAACCTTCACTGTTTTGGGGGGGCTTCTTTTGGTCAGCTTCTTTTAGTCTGGTTGTACTCTTCCCTTCAGAAACCAGTGGAAGGTTTGGCTCCTCCTTCTTTGGTTTTACCTAAAAGAGAAAAAGAAAGAGCTTGAATCAGACTGAATTGCTCTACAGCTACCCCTGCATGGTTTCCAAAATCAAAAAACTTCAGGAAAAAAGTCCCTGATATCCAAATGGCTCTGCTGGGAGCATACCATTAACAATGAAAATTCTTTCCAATGGCATCTATCAGCTGGTGATCATTTTATTCATTGGAAGTGGCTCACCTCCCTTTGAAGTTTCTTATCTCTGGGTGATATGCAGCAGGGAACTCTCTAAAACACCCTGGAAACCACTGAACCACACTACAAGGCCATAAATCTGCAAATGGGGGTGTTGTGCCTGACAACAAGCATATTCTTGGCAACAACGGAAGTCCGGAATTTGCTTCATCAGACCTGGGAGCCACATTCAAATCCTGTTTGGCTTTTTTTCAGGGAATTTAGTGAAAACATGAATTATGTCTTTCCAGCTCAAAAGGAGAAGGAGGACTGTGGTTTTGTTGGGAAGGAAGAGAGAAAAAGACAGAGTTCAGCCCTTATACTTAAGGGGTTGAAATTGGTTTAGTATAAACAAAGTTTCCAGGTAATTACAGTGCAGCTCTGGAGATGTCAAAGTAACACTGCACTGAACTCTGTCTAGAATTCGCTTAATGTAAGCCTTTATGACGTGCATTAAAGACAAACATACAACTCTTTTTTTTAAGATTTTTATTGGGGANAAGGGTGTCTGGGAGGCAGGCGACCCTCAGCACCGATCCACTCTATAGGTACATTCACTGATCCTGTTGAGAATGTCTGTGGCTGGAATTCAGCCCCATCCTCAGCTTGGAAACACCATTCTTCAGGAGAGCTGTCAGAAACTGAGGAGACTTCTTGCTGGTACTCAAGCTTCCCCAATGCCTGGGAAAGGTCTCTGGGAGGCAGCTGCTCTTGGGAACTGCTCCACTTCATAGGAGCACTCTCTGAATGTGAGGAAACTTCTTCTGGGTCTTCAGGTCTCCCCAAGGACTGTAAAGGGCATTCTGTAGACAGCAGCTTCAAAGAAATGCCTCCCTCAATATCAGCACTCTCCCAATCTGAGAAAACTTGGTGTGCGACTTTAGGACTCAACAGAGATTTTGAAGGTTGATGTGAAGATGGAGGAGTCACATAAATCTGCCCCTCAATAGCAGGACTCTCTGAGAAGACTTGCTGTGCCATAAACTTCACGAATGACTGGGAAGGATGTCTGGGAAGCAGCGATTTCTTAGACGTGCTTTCTTCAACAGCAGTGTTCTCTAGACATGAGGATATTTCTTGAACTTTAGACCTCATTAAGAAGTGGATGGGATATTTGGGAGGCAGTGGCCTCTCCGAAATGCACCTCTTAACAGCAGCACTTTCTAAACTTGAGGACATTTGCTGGATTTTATGTCTCACAATGGACCAATGTCTGGGAGGCAGCAGTTCTGTAGAAGTGTCCACCTCAATGACAATACTCTCTGGACCTTCAGAGATTTGTTCTTTGACTACTGGCTTCATCAGAGATTGAGAGGGTATTCTGGGAGGCACTGGTTCCATAGGACCTCTCCATTCTGCAGGGACACTCATTGAACCTGAGGAGACTTCTTGCTCCATAACTGGTCTCATCAGAGGCTGAGAAGGAATTCTGGGAGGCAGAGGCTCCCTAAAAATGCTCCTCTCAGCCACAATGCTCTCTGGACTTGCAGAGGCTTGTAGTTCAGATTTAGGGCTCATCCAGGACTGTAGAGCATATCTGGGAGGCATCGGCTCCACAGGACTGCTCCATTCTGTGGAAGCACTAACTGAATCATGGGTAATGGTTTGTGGCTGGAATTTAAGCCTCACCAAGGGCTGGCAAGGGTATTTTGGAGGCAGCAGCTCCACAAACATGTCCTTGTCACCAGCAGCGTTCTCTGAGAAGATATACTGGGCTTGAGGATTTGTCAAGGATCGGGGAGAATATTTAGGGAGCAGTGGCTCCTCTGAAACGAACGTCTCAGCACCCTCTGAACCTGAGAACACATTTTGTTCAACTTTGGGGTTCATCAAGGGCCGAGTAAGAACTTCTGGAGGCAGAGGCTCCACAGAAATGCTCCCCTCAACAGCTGTGCTCTCTAGAATGGGGGAGACATTTTGATCAACTTTAGGGCTGATCCGCGGCTGGAAGGCATATCCGGGAGGTGGAGGCCCCACAGAAATGCTCTTCTCAGCCACAGCACACTCTGGAGCTGCAGAGATTTCTTGCTCGGCTGTTGGTTTCACCAGGGGCTGGAAATGATGTCTTGGAGGCTGCAGCTCCATTGAAGTGATCCCCTCAATAGTATCCATTTCTGGACCTGATGCGACTGCTTGCTCAACTTTATGCCGCCTCAGGTGCTTAGGAGTCATTCTGGGAGGCAGCGGCTCCATAGAAATGGCCCAGTCAAGAGCAGTGCTCTCTGGACCTGAAGAGGCTTGTTCCTCAGATTTAGGGCTCATCCAGGGCTGGGAGAAGTGCCTGGTAGGGATCAGCTCCCATTCTGCAGAAGTACTCATTGAACCTGAGGCTTGTTGCTGAACAAACGGCCTCA